TTAGTTACTTCAGGTTATTTTAAATAGAAAATATGGTATTTCTGTTCTTGCTGCAAAGTTCAATGTTAATTTCATTCTTGTTTGATGGACATTGAATGCTGCCTGATTAAATGAATATACTATCCTCCCTTCTAAATTAGAAGACATTTTGATTTTTTAAATAGTAATTTAGAACAAAAGAGTATATAAAACAACAATATAAAAAGAGTTAAATGCACCGTAGATCTATTAACTTTTGGTGGTGTGTCATCTAGGTCCATCAACTTTCAAACTGCATTTTTTGGTCCATTAACTTTTGGTGGTGTGTCATACAGGTCCATCAACTTTCAAATTGTATTTTTTGGTCCCTAAACTTTTTAACTGGTTCACCGTAGATCCATACCCCTTCGTTTAGTGAATAGATCGGACATGGCACGCCAAATAAGCAGCCACCGTGGAGTAGGTGATGAGTCCATAGCTCCTCAAGATGTTCATGGAGACTTGTCTAGCAATCATTCAAATGTAGCCGCTGGTAATTCGTTAATATCCCCTGGTCTTAAATTTGGGACTATTATTTTTAAGGTTAAATATATTGTGGACATGGAGAAATTTACAACTGTTGGACTATCATCAAAGATATTTTATAGAGGTGCTTTCTTATTGCGTGGAAAGGAGGAGAAAATAAAGCCAACAAAATACATCAGTACTAATTCTAAAGAGGTGGAGATCATCAATGAAATTTTTCCAACATAATTAGCATCCTTGCCGTAGTATTTTATTATTTCCATACATTACTTTCCTATCCAGTTGTGACACACGATCGTTTATCTAGCATCTAGCTTTTAGTGCCTACATGAGTCAAATTGGTGGCTGCGTTTGGACGTGACGTGCATGTTAGCCGAATCAGGGACTCAAGGTCAATCGGTCCTAGTTGGGCTGGTGGAGTCCGAGTTTTGTTTGGGTCAGGTGGCCTGCGTGCCTATACATGTGGCCTTCGGCCTTGTACCGGGTAGATTAGACTGGATTTTATTGTTTCCCCGTCAAGCCGCCGCTCGATGATCCCATCAGGTTCTTCGTATTGAAGATTATCTCCGGATGGTGATCTCGTCCTGTACTCCACGGTGGCTGTTTTTTTGACGTGCCATGTCAGATCTATTCGCTAAACAAAGGGGTATGGACCTACGGTGAACCAGTTAAAAAGTTTAGGGACCTAAAAATGCAATTTAAAAGTTGGTGGATCTGGATGACACACCACCAAAAGTTAATAGACCAAAAAATATAGTTTGAAAGTTGATAGACCTGAATGACACACCACCAAAAGTTAATGGACCCAAAAATACAATTTGAAAGTTGAAGGACCTAGATGACACATGACCAAAAGTTAATGGACCTACCGTGCATTTAACTCATATAAAAAAGACATTGAAATAACTGGAAAGTACAAGAATGCCTTGTTTCCTTATCATTCACCCTCCACGCTTTCATACACTCTCACCCTTTCTCGATCGGGGACGGCGGTTCCTTGAGGCTGGGACCCGTAGTTGGGCTCTGCGAGGGCGGTGGCAGCGGCTTGCGCAACGGTCGCTCAGATACCTCGTACGGGGATGGGGGCAGCGGCGGCAGCTTTCGCGGCCGCCGCACTTCGGGCGCCTTGCGCTGGGCGTGGGCGAGCGGAGGCGGAGCTGCTCACGCGGTAGCTCGCTCGGGTAGGGGCGGTCGGGTGCAAGGAAGGCGCACGGCGGTTCGCTCAGGCAGGGCCTGGCCGGGTGAGAGGGAGGGCCACTGCTGCCGGCCGGACCAGTCGATTTGGAGCTGTCAAGGACTTGTCCGCACTCGTCGCTGCGGCGGCCTTAGGTCGGACGCTTGCAGTGAGGGAGCTTTGCTCGGTTGAGCACAGCATCCATGCCGTGCAGGCTGTGTTCGACCAGGTTTAAGAGGCTTGCCGATGCTGGATGGAAGGTGAGGAATTGCTTTGGCCTGAATCATGGTGAACTGGATTTTGGATAGCATTCAAACATACTATCATCAGGTTGATAAATATTATTGTTTGATCATTTTGACTGTTTATTATGGATAGTCGGTCTCTGTTTTATTATAGCTTTTTGGATGTAATCATAGTGCTGGTAATTTACGAGGTTACTGTTCATGTGTATTCTTACACATCACATAGCTTTGGCATCAAGCGGTACTAGTGTTGTCCAATTTTTGCCAAAATTTGCTCAGATTTACAATGTATTAAAATTGTGTTATGTGAAAATAGTGTGTAAAGCTTTGATGCCAAATCAGAGGTAATGTGACAGAACCACCCAATTCATACAAGCTCAAGTACGGCCGTCCCTGTTTAACATGTTGACTCACACATACTTTCACTTATATAAACCCGGTAGTCCGCCGAGTGTCACGAAGGACCTCAGTAAATCAATATCATAACCAAGATCGCACGATTAAGTAAATACTCATCATATACACGGAGTTGCAGCAGAAATAATATTTACAATGAGTTCATAAATAATAATACAAGTTTAGGTTTCAAAACCGATTAGTGAAAACAGCATAGCTTTTAAATGATACAATAATATAAGTTTCAAATACATTGCTAGCATATTTGACATCCTCTGACAAAAACATATAGATAAGAACACTATATATAGTCGCCGAGCCCACCGGCGGTTAGCCACCATCTTTAGCAGGTCGAGAACTTCACCTGCAACATTGGGGGATAAACTCTGAGTACTCGAATGTACTCAGCTTGACTTACCCATCATAAACCAAAATAAAGTGACACCAAGGATCATACAAAGCTTTATAGGTGGAGCTGGCTTGACAACATTTTGTATAAAAAGCCACTGGTTGAGCTATACATTTTATAATTCGATTCCAAGTTAATTGTACCTATTCATCTCTAGATTAGCATCTAACATGTGCCAAACATGTGATGTATGATTAAGTAGCATAACAATAACAACCATAGCCGGCGTAACATTCCCATGTTCATCATAACCATCAAATTTCATAGTTCAATTACTACGATGAAGAAGCTTCGTCAAGTTTCTCACTATCCGGGAGAGACGGCGATTCGAATCGATTGCAACCAGCTGGGCAGTTATTCCTAACACAAACCCAGACATACCTACGCCAAGGTAGTCTGAGGTCACCTTTCATACAACTCAGGTACACATTTCACGGGTCCGATCAGCGTCGCACCCTCACGGACACTACCAGATGCCAGGTCGATCAGGACTTTAACCCACCCTTGGCCTCACACTGGCTCCCCGCACATCCTTATTACCTTCAGAGTGCGCACTTTCACTTAATGGGTCCTGGCCTGAGTTGAGCTACTCGGCTTCGCGGTCGGAACGAGTTATCTGGCCAGCTAACTGAGAGGCATGTATTCAAAATGACAAGATGGCCTCCAACGATGTGGTCCTTAATCGGCACAGACGGAATCACATGAGTCAACCTACACATAGACTCCGCCCGGTCTCCAATTACATTATCCCATGGTTGTTTTCCACGATAGCAAATATAGCCAACAGTGCTCTGGTATCCACCTATATCTCGCAGGTGACAAAAAATCATCCGACTTCTACTGGCCTAAGCATATATCGATCCTGGACCAACACAGGGTTTAAAGTATATATCTAGATAAGGTAGTTCTATGCATCAAGTGTTTCCAAATCAACTCTTATAACCTAATGCATCAAACATAAAGGACTCAAATGATATTTTATAAAACATAGGAGGCTTAGAATGCTACGAAGCTTGCCTGGGATCCAACACAAAGTCAGTTCAGTTAGCTTGCACCATCTTGGGGAACATCTTCCACTCTAGGCATGCACTCTAGGGGTCCCTCCATCTTTGGGATAGGTCCACCAACACCGTCTTCTGTTTTGACTCCATCATCACGTGCTTCACATCCACGCGTTGTGCATCTAGCGTACCTAGATGAGATGCAACAATGCAAGTGAATGAATGTGAAGAATGGTAACATGAGATGCATCATATAAAAGCATTCAAGACAAGTATAAGGTTACACCTCAAGACATATGCACTTAGAGAGCAGTCATTTAACTAACTATCACTCAAGTCTAGCATAGGGATAGCAAGCATAACAAGCATGGCACACCAGTTAACTCAAGTCAAACTATCACAAACATTTAACAATTAAGAACTAATTAATCCTAGCATCACATAAGAACTAGGGATACGGTGAACGACACCAACATAATTAAAGCTCTAGCAAAACATGTATCAAGATCATTTTGTGGCAACATGCATATATGACCATTTATTAGTTACGTGCTTGACCAATCATTATATAACACATTTATAAGATACCTCAAGTAGATTAATTTAACTCTAGTAGGGTCATGAGATATCACTAACAAGCATACAAAGCAATGCCAAGTGAAGCAAACAACTTTAGGTACATGCAAAGTTCAACTAGGCGCTAGGCGGAATCTAGGCGCTGACCCATTGCCTAGCGCCTAGTCGGGAGTACTCGGTCATAGGCGCTCCTAGGCGTTTTCCTAGGCGTTTTGGCAATATAACCATAAATTATATATATATTATGTATATAACTATATATATGTATATAACTACTATATATGACTATATGAGTCACAGTAATGAGTAAGTAGAAAAAGAGGGCAGTAGACATATCTGATTCCTAGCTGGCTTACTCTTGCTTTCTTGCATGTTCCTAGCTCCTGCCTCCTGCAACACATTTTGACAGCTAGTAGTTAGTAAATTAGTCAATAGACAGCTAGCTGGTCATCCAAAAAAAATAGAAAACACTAAGTTGTGACTTATCTGGATGATTTCAGTAGCCTCCCATCCATGAGCACACCATATCAGCAGCAGGTAATTACAATACAAGTGGATAGGACAGTAATACAAGTGCACAACACAATTTATAAATAAAGGACAGCACAAGCACATAGTTCCCTCACTCACTGTAGTTCAATACAAGCTGCACAACACAATTTATAACTAAAGGACGGTACAATACAAGCTGCAGTTCATATTTCTTCATCACTGTAGTTCACATCCTCATCGTCATACTCTTCTTCTTCAAACTCAAATTCTTCTCCTTCATAGAGCTCCCTCACTCTTGCACTTCTACGTAGCTCAAGCTGTTCATCTGCTCCCACTGCCTCTCCAATGACAGACCAAGGTACCATCTCATCTTCCTCCCCATCTCTAAAGTCAGCTAATGCACAATCATCCCCACCCTCTTGGAGAAAACCTTGAGCTTCAGTTGTATCACTAGACTGAAGTATCTCAGTGATTTTGTTTGACTTGATCTTTTCTCTCTTACTAAGCAGCTTGGAGTTGAATTGGATATACACCAGCTTGTTGAGGCGGGTTGTAGTAAGCCTATTCCTCTTCTTAGTGTGTATCTACAATTTAAAAAGAGCATTCTTAGTTCTACAATTAAATTGTAATGCTGCTGAAAGCCTGAAACATGTTCATAATAGATAGGTAGTTAGGTACTAACCCCTTCAAACCCACTCTAATTTCTTTCACAACTAGAAGAGCTTGATGTCAAAGATAGGATCCTTGTAGCCATCTTCTGTAAAGCTGGTGTTTCATATCCATACAGTCTCCACCATGATGCTGAAATAAAAAAACACCTCTATTAGTTTAGAAAACAGCAAACAACCAACAGCCATGAGCCATAGGAAGTACCTCTACCTGGGTTGTAATCAAAGTTTTCAAAATTCCTAGCAAGCTTCTTGCTAAAGGGTCCTTCTCTATTCTGAAACTTCTTTAGTTCAATGTTGGCAGCCATATGTTGCATGTCCTCATCATGGTAAAAAAATTTCTCAACACAAGATATAAACCCTTCTGATATTTTGGGCTGATCAAAGATTGATGGGTCACTATAGCTATAGTGAGGATTCAGCAAATAGGCTGTCAAATGCAATGGAGAATCAAGTCTTCCATTCATCTTCTTGTCAATAACAGCTATTACATCCTTGAACCGAGCCTCAACATTTCCAAAGGCCTCTTTGATCTGTCTCTTTGCCTTTAGTAGTTGTCCATAAAGGAAACCCATGGATGGCCTCACATCCCCATCAACCAAACGGAGGACTTTGACCAATGGCTCAAAAACAGTCAATGTTAGCTTCACATCCTTCCAAAAGCTTGGACTCAATATAGTTGCTGTTGCCTCTTTTCCTTTCTTTGATTTCACATCCTTCAATGAGTCCCACCTACTATGAACCACCATCTTCCTTAACTGGTCCTTCTTCTCTTGCATGCTACTCAAAGTGAGAAAGTTTGAAGCAAACCTAGTCACTCCTGGCCTCACTACCTCTATCCCCTCTATGAAGTATCTCAAGCACTCCAATGTCCTTGTGTGGCCATAGACAAATATGGTAAATGCCTTTGCTTGGTCAACCACTTTCTTGAACCGAGTCAAGTTGCCAATTCCTTGGAGCATAAGGTTGATTGTGTGAGCTACACAAGAGGTCCAAAATATGTGTGGTCTCTTCTCTTCCAATAGCCTCTTTGCTCCTATGTTGTTAGAGGCATTGTCAGTCACTACTTGCACCACATTGTCTGGACCAATCTCTTCAATTGCTTTGTCCACAAGATCAAAGATGACCTCACTGGTATGTGAGACATGTGACATCTCCTTAGAGCTAATGAAGGAGGTTCCATCAGCACAATTGGTGCACAGATTCATTATGCTTCTCCTCTTCCTATCTGACCAAGCATTGGTCATAATAGAGCATCCATTTTTTATCTTCTCGGCTTCACGTTCCTACAGCAGACTCTTGGTTCTTTCATATTCTTCTTCCAACAATCTCTCTTGAAGTGAATCTTGACATGGAGGTACAAGTCCTGGACCAAACTGACCAATTGCTTCACATATTTGCTTAAACTCATCATTGTCACATGCATTGAAAGGTATTGCTGCCAATGTTAAAAAAAGCCTAATTAGTGATCAGGAATAACATCTAATGAATTAGTGATCATGTAATGTAAGTACAGAAGAGTATACTAGCAATTTACCATGTGTATAGGCCCATCTTGCAATATACTTATGCACCTCATGTGTTCTTTCTTTCCAAAGTTCCTTGTTCAGCTGCTGTTGCTTCAAAGAATCGGTCTTGGTAGCTTTAGGATCAATAGCACATGTCCATTTGTCCATGGGTCCTAATTTGTGAGGCTCTGAACTTCCAACACAAGTGACTTCATCTGACTCTCCAACCCTAGATACATTAATTTCCTCTCTAAGTTTTAGCTCACGAATAGTCTTCTCCTCCCTCTTCCTTTTTGCCTCATCTAGTGCTTTCTTGCACTTCTGTTTAGCCTCCATGGCCTGCACTGTTGTAGCCATGCATTTCTTCACATTCTTTCCCTCATGAGCCAAATGCTGCTTCAACCTATAAATCCCTCCCCTCATCTCCTTCTTACAAAGCTTGCACTTCACCTTGTCCTTGTTGTTAGGATCAACAAGAACACCATACTCCCATCCAACATCATCCGAATTCCTTTTCAGGAGATTCGCTGACTCACTATTTTCTCCCTCACCTAGTGCACCCTCTGTTGTAGACATCCTACATTTAGACAATGGGCATTCACAGCAGGCAAAATCAGATCAACTCATTGGTGATCAAGCAGTGGAGCTTGGAACATCCAATTTACAATGAGATTAGAACATCTCTTCCCTAGCTAGTTACTAATAGCTTGCTACATTTTGTTGTGATAATTTTGAGTTCTAGACTTTGCATTCTTCATGTCTAGGAATGGTTCATCACTTATTCAGTGCATCACTTGCTATGGAGAAAAAAATCAACAAATGTCTAGTAATGTCATTAGGAACCTGTGATCTGTACATAAAAACTTTGCTTCATGTACCTAGATATAGGCATGATCACAATTTGCCAGTGCTGGATGGCTGTTCTAATCACAGGCATTCAAATCAGAGGAGAGAAGCAGGGGATGCATTCAAAACAGAGGACATGGAGGAGAGGAGCAGGGGAGGGGCCTGACCTTGGTGCTGCAGGTTCCAGGCGGGGAAGAGGAGGTGGGGCAGCAGCTTCCAGGAGGGGCAGAGGAGGCCGACCGGGACAAGCCTCTAGGCGGGGCAGAGGAGGCGGGGTAGCAGCTTCCAAGCGGGGCAGAGGAGGTAGGGCAGCAGCTTCCAGGCAGGGCAAAGGAGGCTGGTCGGGACAAGCCTCCAGGCGGGGGTCACGGGGAGCAGGGCGACCGGTGGGGCCGGCGGGTGGAGCTTCCCTCTGGCGCGCCGTAGCAGGAGGAGAGGACAAGCGGGAGTGGCCGAGTGGCTATCTGCGACCTGGAAGGCAAGAATCGAGCGGGAGCGGACCTTTTCCCTCTTCTCCTTCCCACGCGCATCCTTTCCCGCCCCAGACGCCATAAGCGCGCGCGCTTCCGCGGCGGACAAAAATTTCACCGTTGAGCAGGTCGTCCGCCTACACGCCGCCTTGCGCGCCTGCGCGCCGTGGAATCGCCGTCGAGGCGCCGATCTGCGCTGCCTAGTCGCTGCTCCCACCTAGGACTGCGACTATACCCTAGTCTACGCGGAGGGCCATCGATTAGCGCTTAATCGCGCCTAGGCGCGCCTAGGCGAGTGCCTAGCGGAACTTTGGGTACATGCTCAGATTCTGGGCAGCAGCATAATAGCAACTTGTTTTAACCATAACTAGAGATATAATTATCCAGCAAAGGTGGTCCAAGACTTTATATAAAGCTTAGGAAATTGTCTACAACTTTGTTATTTACACCTAGAGCTGATTCAAAGGTTAACAAGATTGAAAAAAAACTAACAAGTAGATCTGCACAAACTAGGATAGAAAACTGACATGAACTTCAGAAATGCATAACAGGAGTTTTAATCATCCAACAAATATGATTCTTAACTTTATGGAAAGCTTATTAAGTTATCTATAATTTTCTTATTACCATCTTAAGATGATTTTACAGCTAACAAAGTTAAACAACATCAAGAATGCATCTCTGTTCAGATTTGGATAGAACCTGCCATTCTACTTTGAACAGCTATAACCGGAGTTCTAGGTCACAAAAAAGGGTGTTCTCGGATATTTTGGAAAGCTTAACAAAAGCACTACAACTATTCTATTATCAACAATATATGATTCCATGTTTAAGTAACCCAAACAATATAATCATTCAGATCTGTTCAGAGGACATGCAAAACCTGACAACAAACTTGTAAAATCTATACTCCTAGGACTTTTCACAAATCAACTAAGCCCACAATTGAAATCCTTTCTCTCTAAGCGTTTTGCATCAGGAGCCCTACAAAGAGTTTCTATTTGCTTTTTCACCCTTCTTCTTCTTCACGTAGTCGGAGCAGAGGACGTCGGGGGCTGGCTGATCCCGGTCGGTGGGTAGCTGGCGGAGGAGGAGGAGGAGGCGGGGGTGACATGGAGGCCTGGGGCCAGTGCACACCCACCGGTGCCCTTGGCGCAGCGCAGAGTGGCCCGAGGTGGCTCAGCCTCACGAGGCCGTGGCTCAGCGGCGAGCGCATGCGGTGGCCATGGAGCAGCTCCGACGGCGGACGGCTATAGGTAGCAGGAGAGACAGCATGATGTGAAAAGGTGCCGGCAGTGGTGTAGGGCTGGTAGGCACTAGGCAGAGAAGCAACAGCGGCGGCCATGGAGCTCGAGCTGACGGCATCCATGGCGGACGCGAGCTCCAGCGTTGAGCGGAGCGAGGACGAGCGCTGGGAGAGTGTGGGCGAGCGCGAGAGGGAGCAGAGTGTGAATGAGGGCGCTCTGGTGCTCCATATTAAGGCAACGAGAGGGCAGGGCGCGTGGCAATGGAGGTGGGGCGCTCAGTTCGTGCATGGTGACCACGCGTCTATAACATCGAGCAGGTGGCGGGCACCGAAGTTGGTAAGGTGGGCGTCGATTCCAGGCCGCTTCTGGTCCGAATTCAGACATGGACCTTGAAGCAAAGTTGAAGCCCACGAACTGCTCTACAAATTTCATTAAGGGCGCCGAGTCATTAGAGAAATAGATTAACGGGTAATTAAGCTCCAAAGTGGTTGTGTCTATGTGTTGATAGTGGTTAAATAAACCCAAGATTGACGACCAAAATGGAGTCAAACTTAGTCCAACTTTTTATATGCTCTTCTCCAAAACATATATCCCAACTTTCATTTTTGGCTTAACTTGAGTTGCTTAACAAAAGCATGAGAACGCGGCATGCCAATTAAGTGGTTACTAATCCTGGACTTAGAATATTTGTAAGTCTGAAAACAGCCGCAAATTCAATCTTCGAGCCTTAGTTCGACAAACTTAAAGGGTGATTTAGGATTGGGTATTTGAACAAAGTTTATTGTACACATCTTGCTCTGCAACTTTGCTTAAAGGATCATGGACTGGTTTGGATTGGTTGGAGAGATACAAGGCTCCAAAGTGTAGTACCCGAAACTGAAATTCAGGGTTCAGACATTCATTCCAAACAGGGACCGAACTGTGCGATGTTCTGTTTTTGAAATTCAATTTGAACATCCAAACGAGCTCCAAAAGTGATGAGACTTATTTAGTTGTTTCCTCCACACAGTGTACTCCAACTCATATTAAGTAATCCAGTTGAGTTACCATATAAATTTAGAAGATAAAAATGTCACAACATGTCAACTCGCTATTGCCGATCAGGGACTTAGAAAGATTTCTGAGAACCCAAAAGAGCATTGTATTTAAACCTGAGGCCACTATTTAAGCTACTTAGGAGTTGAATCAGAGCTTGGTCCAAAAATAAAGTTTGTTGTACTCCACTCAAACTTCAACTTTTATTAAAAGTCAAACTTCATATATGGTTCCCAAATCATAGTTTCATCTTGGTCAAAGCAGCACCTCGTTAAACCCTGGAATTAGGGTTTTCGACCAATTGAGGCATTTTCTTGACATTTGCTCAACACGAACCCTTCATAACTTTTGTTGTAGAGTTCAATTAGAGTCATTTGGACAAGGTAGCAAGGTTTGGTCGACATCCCATGTTCCCATTCACCGGATGAAGCAATTCAAGAAAGATTATAACTTATCATTTCATGAGACTTCTTGGCTCCCAACTTCATGAAACTTTTACAATAGTCAATGTAGATGGAAATAGATGTGAGGCGCATGAAAAGGGGCACCTTCCGCATTACTCAAACTTACATTTGAAAAGGGTCAACATGTAAGCAAGGTGTATTGTCCAAGTTCAAGTTGGGACTCAATTTCATAGATTTGACCTCAGCACTTCAATCACCACTTCAAAAATTTTAGATTAGAGCTCTCAATCATCACTTGACATAACTTACTGAGTCCAAACTCGCTGCTTAACTTATGACTAACACCTGGGGTGTTATGGGTAAAATCAAAACGAACCAACAAAAGTAAGGGCAAATCCACATGTGCAAAGTAGTCATTTCATATGTGAATTAACATCGTTAGAATGACTTAGCAAAATAGGGGTAAAGTCTGCCTTCAATTTCAAATAACAGGGGCAAAAACACAAAGTTGAAAAAATGAGGGCAAAATCACCATTGATCTACAAAATAGGTGGCATGAACACAAAAGCCCCGTTTATTTAAATAATAGTAGAGGGATGATTTAGTTGAAAATTTATAGGGTCACGTCATATTCTTTTTCAAAATGGCACTTAGATGCAAATTTGAGTGGTTACTCCGTATTACTTTTCTTAATGGTAGATGTAGTTAATTTAGATGAAGATTCAGGGTTACTTTATGTTACTTTTCATGGGAAACATGGGTAATATAGATATAGATTTAGAGGATTAATTTAGAATATTTTTATAGGTATGTAGAATTTTAGAAAGGATAACAGATCCTATGGTTACTATTGTCAATGATGATTAAATTCTAATGAATAGATCGCTAGATGTTTATCTTTGTGAGAATTTCTAGGATTTATACTTTCTTCTAGTCTATCTTGTGAGGATAACATAAGGCTCCCAACGGAGTTTGTAATTAGCAATGGTAATATTTCGTTCCAAGTGTCATACCTAGATCAGTCTGAAAGCATCCAGCCCTATTGGATAACAGGGATTACATTGAAATGCTTGTGAACTGAAAAAGAAAAAGGAAAGGAGTCGTGATACTGGTGTCATCTCAATTAAATACCACTATATTTGGCATCAATTTAAGTGGAATTCTAGATATAGTGGCCATATGTGATAGGGATATTAATGTTACCGTACAAATTTGTGTTAGTTCATGTTTAGTACCATGTTTGGTTTGATGTAAAATATACCTAAGAATGATCAAGTTTATAGAAAAGAACAATAATATTTATGATATTAAGAGCACTGTTAGATAAATTGTTGAATACATTATTAAAATTGGCCCTTTTAACGTCGTAAATAGTAAATTTTAACACTCGTTTGAGTTTGACTTAGAACAACTCAAAATCTATTATATTTCATGATAAAGGTAGTATTATCTCCATCCCAGAAAACTTGATACTTTAAGATTAAAAAATTGTCTCATAAAACTTTAGGTCTTGAACACTAGGTTGTGCCCATATTAACCTCCCCGTACCATACTGCAACAAATCTGCATGGCTG